GCAGGGCTCAGGTGACAGAGGGTCACAGGGCGGCGGGGCTCAGGTGACAGAGGGTCACAGGGAGGCAGAGCTCAGGTGACAGAGGGTCACAGGGCGGCGGGGCTCAGGTGACAGAGGGTCACAGGGAGGAGTGGGTCTCGGAGTGGGGTCTCAGTGCAGAACTCAGTCTCCCTGCAGGGTGAACTTCCTTGGGGTGACAGCATGAAGGGGTTCACAGATCATCTTCACAGATCCCCAAGTGCCCGGTAGCTGGCACGTGAAATGCCGCAAAACCCGGCAATCAGCACCCACAGCCACGTCCGCCCCGGCCGGAGGCAGAAGGGTCACCGCGGATGTGGTCACTGCGCCAGGGGCTGTCTCTGTCCGAGGGCCCTGTGGACCGTCCTGAGCGGGTCCTTGGACGCTGGGTGGCGTCGGCAGAGCCTGTCGCTCACTGGGTCAGATGCCCGGGGCCCGGGGAGGCTGCACTGGGCCCCCGGAGGCCTCTGCTCTCCAGGGCCCGCCGGGTCAGCGCCCAGGTGCGGGACAGGGCGCTGTGCGCGAGGCCGAGTCTCCGTCCTGTTTCCCTGTTGAGTCCTCACAGCACCCTCTGTGCTGGGGGGCGGGGGTGGGGGTGGGGGTGTTGCTGTTTTTCAGGCAAGGAAATGAGGGCTCTGTGGGGTTCAGTGATACAGCTAAAGTCACCTGGTCAGTAGGTGATCGCCCCCAGGTTTTGATGCGTTTTGTTCTTACCGTATTTATCTCTATCTGGAAAATCCCCTTAAAAATCATGCTTTGGTTGATGTGCGCCCGGCCACTGGGGCCTAGAAACTGGCCCCGAGTCTCCCCACTTTCTTCTTGGCCAGAGGCCTGGGGCACAGCCCTGTCTCCCTTTTGACGCTCCGGGGCTCCCAGTCTGGGCTCCCCAGCCTGCAGAAGCGTTTCTCAGCCGCCCCAGCCCTGTCTGGGCCTCGTTGTCTCCGTGTGGAGAAGCGTTTGCTGAGGCGTCTTGTCTTCCCACGCAGCAGGCCCGCCCTGCCTCCAGCCCCGGGGTGCGTGCGCCCTGCACCCCGGCTCCCTCTGTGCGCCCCGCACCC